TTGCTTGTATCTTATAATTCCCAATCATACGTCAACCCTATCCCCATAACTAGTTTTCTGCATTCCATTAAATTTCTTCTTTGCAAAATAGCATGTTTTCTTATGAAATAACAATTACAACATATTTACATTTTCTTGATCAATACTGAAGCTTCTGTGAGTTTGAAGAAAACATCTTCTCCCCAGAGAAGTAACCTTAAAAGAAAGATCAAAGAAATACTTACTAGATTATATAAACAGAAAATGACCTTCAGTCTATGATTTATTCAAAAACTCAGTGGGACCACTATTCTATATTGGAAGAGGTCTTTATTTTATAAAAGGCTACCTATAGTCTATTCCAATTTTTTTTAGTTGACTTTTTTCCTAATTTACCTATGCAATTAAGTTCTGTTAAATCATTCACAAAAGAAACACAGTGGCAGGGTAAAATTTTCTCCTAAAATTAAATCTTGTTTATTCTCAAATTATTTGCTTCCTGTCTGACTTAAACAAACCTCCTTCTTTTCAAGATGGAAAGAAAACAATAATGAGTGTTTCTTAAGCACCAAAGAAAGCTGAAAATTATTTTGAAAAAAAAAATTTTTAATTTCTTTCCTTTTGCTAGAGACTACTTTTGGTTTTATTTAAGAACTGAGCTTTTTCTGTCATTCTCCAGGTAAGAAAGAAAATGATAGAGGTTTGTATGAAAAAGTCTTAAGGAGCTACAACACCCAAACCCACTAGAATCTGTCAGACTTTCAAAATTTGTCTTCCAAATTTCTTTTCAGTTCACAAATATAGTTTCTAAATAGTTTGTGATGCTATGTATTTTTGCAAACGGAGAGCGTCTTCTTGTTATGTCATTTTCTCTCCTAGAGGATACAAATTGGAACCAAACAAGAGCTCCAGCATTTCCTCCAGAAATGCAGAGCCTGACCCAAACACAAAATCACAGTTCAATGAGTAAGGCTAGAAAAAATGAGTTAATGGAAAAGGTTCTACTAATAAAGAATTAAGAGGCCAAAAATTCCCAAAACATAAACCTAGAATATAATAACTCTAAGACAGATACAAAGAAAATCTCAGAGAAGAAATCAAGTGAACCACAATGTCACCTAGAATTCCTAGAAGAAATGAAGCAATGGTTTAAATACTTAGAGGAAGGAAAGAAGGAAGGAAGGAAGGAAGGAAGGAAGGAAGGAAGGAAGGAAGGAA